GACAATTGAGATTTTTTTAAAAAGCCAGTAATACTTTACAATTCCCGGAAATCGAGCCCTTGCCCAACAGTCGCACTTGCGACTACTCGGCCAACCAGGCAGATCTAAAAAGCGTCCACTAACATTATTATAAAACCTGTAAGTGTCAAGTCAAATACCTGTGAATCAATTCAACACGAAAACCAAATTAAATATTAAATTCCAATACAAGCGTAACCAATAAAATAAGAAAATTAAATGCATATTTATAGGGAAATAATAAATCACATGGCGAAAAAAGGGCTCGCGAGATTATATGAAATGCGTATTGAATATTCAGCCAAAGGCACTTTCGCAATCATGGCGGGATTGTGAAAATACAGTGTATTTTCCGTTACATGCCATCACAGTATGTGTGTTCGTAATTATATTAACACGGTATTTTTTTATAAGCCTCAGTATTTTCAAATTTGTATCGTATTAATAGGCAAAAATGTACAGTTGTTGTTTACCTCGTTGGTTGCAAAAATAACAAATATGTGTTGAGTTCTTGGGTACTGAAAATGCAATTGTAATTTGTTAGGGAGATTTCCTGGGCTGTATAAATGATTATGCTGATTTCCGAAACATAGGTACTGATTTATTCAACGATAGGTCAGTATATGCCTAATAAAACATAATAGACGGTGTGCGACGCGTACAGTGCTCACTGCTGATCTGGTGAATAGTGCGGACCTCGTGTAACCAAGTTAGCTCCCTGCACTGCACTGCGCTGTCTTACTCTTGAATTCAATTCCGATCAATCGACATTGATATTGTGAAATTTCGTACTCTTGAGTTACAACACTAGCGCCCATTGCATCCGTATTGCATGGATATTGAATGAACTAAACGGTACTGAGTTTGGCTTTATATTCCGTACTCTGAATGCTATTTTAATAGGGGTTGTATAGTTTTGACATTGAATAATTATTAAGATTTTATTGGATTAAAGTTGAAAAATTAAGAACCATGATACCATCGCCAATGCCGCCTCCGTCGACGTTATCGTTATGTTCGAGAGGCTTCCGAACAGTAATCGTCAACAGCTGCTGATAGCCCACAGCTAGACTTAGGCTTCCTTTTCATGAGACGGTTTGCTATATGCAGCTCTGATACGTGTTTTGATTATTGTAACTTATTAAGTCCAGGTTTATCAGTGGATACTGATGTCCGGTTATTTTTATAAGACCAGTTTATTAATCGCTTCATACGACATCCGCAGAAACGATAGGATTGGTGGAAAATGTATCCTACTCGTGTACCGTTATAATTAAACTAGCTGTTGCCCGCGACTTTTTCCGCGTAGAATATCCATTTTAGAACATATTTTTGATTCAATTTTCCAAAATAAAAGTTGCCTATGTTACTTCTTAGTCTTCTTAGGCTACCCCTACTGATAAAAGTCTTACAAAACCGCTCCAGCCAGAGATTAGCCAGTACAAACAGGGAGACGGACAAAAATTGTATAATACCTATGTTATTTTGGTATATATATCGTATGTATATTCATATGCATGTAGTAAAAAGCAGTCAGCAAATTCATCTGTATAGATGCATAGTTTGTTCCATATTAAACCCCTATAAGCCCATATACGACAAGGACATCATGCGAGTATCGTGGAATATTCAAATATCTTTGGATATTGATATCGACCGGACCATCTCTGCAGGCATAGAAATTAATTTTCCTTTGAGATTGAACCGTGTTCCATGCACTACTTCAGATAGTACACCATCTTACAATTTCAGTCCTAGTAAATCTAGACCTGGCGCCTACAGCCAGATTTTTTATTAAATCGGCTTATTATTTGTCAAATCTAGTCTTTAAACTTTTTCTGGGGTAAAATAATTATTGACACAGAGCTGAGCCTAATCTGAGAATCAAACCAGTGAATACTAGCTTAGTAGTCACGATTGTGTATTCTCAACCCCTCTCAACCAATTAACTCGTCGAGTACCGGTTTTGTAGACACAATTATAGAACAATAGGTTGCGGTCACCGGTGACCGCTTGGTGTTTGACAGTTTAAAACAATAATACTTTATGAAAAACACTTTTCCTAATACATACGCAGTTAACATCAAAATTATGTTTGTCTGTAAGTCTTTAATAGAAAATCTCCTTAATACTCCACATTTTCCAAAGTTCAATCATAATAAGTAATTCAACGTTTATTTATGGCTTCCTAAATTCCAAGAGAATTGTGCTCCATAAAGATTAGATATTAAGATGATGCCGGATTCAGATTTATTAAAATAAGCTTCCCTTTGTAGGGGTGTCAACCTTTATAGTAATAAAATAAAAAACAAGTTCTAAGAAACATTTCAAAACTAGCTAATGATGAAAATAAACGTAAATAAAATACTTCTCAAGTTGTTGATTTTCGAGTAAAGTAACCTAGTTAATTAGCCATTTGGTTGAGTCAAAAGTCGGTCGAATAAAAAAAATTAACTGTGTTTGAATTTTATTTTTAGACTTGTTTTCATCTCCGAAGATGTCTCGAACTGTTGTGAGCGAAAAATAACCATAATTAACATAAAAAATAGTGTTTTAAATAGTTGTTAATCCAGAATAATAAATGACATTAAAACGTATTAAACAAGCGAATAAATAGAACAGTTTAATTAGCTCAAGAAATCTTTTGACATACTCAATTTTGTCGAATGAACTATCATCGGTCAATATATCTCTTCACTCACTCCGTAAGCACTAAAATACTATTCATCTCAACATAAGCGTCGAATTTGGAACTTATCTACCCAATATTAAAACAAAAATGTACTTTTACAACATTACACTCGAAATGAGCTCTTAATATCCGAGCATATTTTTATTATAATAATCTTACCCTGCTTCTGACCGACCGACATTACTTCCCTCCTTCAAATCAGATAATATTGGATTAAAATGTGCCGAACAAATACAAAGTGTGGCTGTAAAACCATTTCCCTTTTCGTCTTCCTTTTATTCTCTAGAATTTGGACTTAACTTCAGTAATGTAATTTCATTTGATTTCTGATCTTTTGAAAGGAATCCGTTTTATTATTATTGACAGGTTTTGTAGTAATGGTTGGGAAGATTAGTAATGGAAAAGATTTCTATTTATAGATCTGATGGAGTGTTGAAATTAGTTTTTCATTTCAATGAGGTGAAAAAACTTGGTTTGGGCCGAGAATATTGTGGTTGGATGTACTGTGACAATCTAAATAATCGAGATCTATAGAAGTAACTCAAAGAAAGACTTTACAGTAAAAAATCTCAAGAACACTTCTGGATGCACTGACTGCGCGGTTGGTGCGGTGGCTGGGCAACTGGCTGCCCTGAAACGTGTCGCGGGCTCGATTCCCGCACGGGACTACTCTTTTTGTGATCCACAGAATTGTTGTTCCGGTTCTAGGTGTGATGTGTATGTGACCTTGTATTCTTGTAAACGCACCCACGACACAGAACAAAATCCTCGTGTAGGGCAACGATTTATTAAAAAAAAAGATAAATAATTATTGTCTCATAAAAAGTCATATAAGAATACACTTCCAACCAATTTTATCAATAGCCCAATTCCTTTTATTTGAAACATGTAACGCTTTGGAAAAACACCGTTTTCTTTTGTACATGGGTTTGAGGCCTCCAGCTATTATGACCATTGTTCCACGGTAACATTGTGTGTTTAATTATACTCCCATTTACTTCATATTTATGTAAGGCTCTTGTCTTACAGAATACACAGTGGCCTATGGTCTATTTATACAACATTATACAGGATGTTGTACTTCCCAGCTCTTTGAGATATAATTACAAGTATGTTATTAGCAGATTATGTACAAATTGTTTATCTAATTTCGTCGTTTCGTTGTTCGTCATATCAATCTTTATATTAACGTGCGTGAATGTTTGGTTTGATAACCAAGAAAATATATTGAGATATTTATTGATACTTTATTTGAACATATATTAATAGCTACCGGCTACGTGTAGATATTACGAACAGAAGAGGTTTAAAGGCTGTTTGATAAAAAATAATGTATGCATTAACACGTTATATGAAACAAGTTTAGAATATTTTTGGTCTAATATATGCCGCGTCGTTTTGTCATTGACCTACGTCCTACACGACAACATTTCCATCCCCATTACAACAGATGAGAACCAATAATAAATCGGCAGTTAGTAACACCCAATAGGCTCACCCCCTAATACATGGGACTCATAACATATATGGTGAAAAGTGGGTGTTACATTGTACAGTGGCATTAAGTGCCGTAATGTGCATATCTGTGCATGCATAAATGTGCATGCCTACCCCTTCAGGGATAAAAGGCGTGATGTCACGATGTTATGGTAGTTAGTAAAACGACTTCGCTTTTTTCAAGAGATCTATTTATAAGCAGGACAACATCAATGTAAATACGAAAGAAATATGTCATATATATCATAGTTTTATTTCTCTTTTCTTACATACCGACCCGTGGTTGAACCCTTGATTTCCTTCGTTATGGGTGAACAGAACCCGATACGCGTCAGTAAATCTGTGATTCGAGCAAATATTATAAATCAGTTGTTACGACAATTGGGATGGAAGATTGATTTTATCTTTTAATATTTGAATAGATATTACTTAAACGCAATAAGCGATATTGATTTCTGAAACTTTTTTATAAATTTTCGAATTAAATATTCCATTGCAACAGACTCAAAACATACTTAACTGAAGAAAACTAGCCTTACACTTAGTGCTCCGTGTATTCAAATCTTTTAAGAAGTAAAATCTTAATACTAATCATAGGTTATTGGTATGTACATAGTACACTGATATCTCTATGAGTGATAGCTCAAAACATTTCTAATCCCATAACGAAATGAGAAGTAAAGTATTTTCTTTACTTCTCATTTCACAATCACCAACTCAAACAAGCATCATCAAGTACCACACCTGTTTAATAAAATCAATTTATTAAAAACAAATTTTCTTTCTTACCCAGGTGGCGTGGATCCGAGCTGATGATCAGACAATATTAACACTGCATACAAGACTGGTAACTCACAGTTCCCGGTATGCAGTCACCAATGACTCCCCAAGGTCATGGCAACTTCACATCAGGCCTCTGAAGGTAGAGGATCGAGGGTGTTATATGTGCCAAATTAACACCAGCACAATGAAGAAACAGATTGGATGCGTCGATGTTTTAGGTAAGTGAAGATAAATCATTGTGATCTGAAATAACTCAAGTGGACTTAATTAATACTATAGTGTATACTGCTAATCTAGTATGGTATCTTATCTTATACTATTATATAAAGCGGTAGAGTTTGTTTTTTTGTTTGTTTATTTGAAAGCGCTAATCTCCGTAACCACAAGTCTGATTTGAATAATTCTTTTTGTTTTGGATACCACATTTATCGAGGAGGGCTATAGACTATAAAACACCACGCTACAACCAATAGAAGTTGGGCAAAGCGTGTGAAACCGCGCGGAAGTGGCCAGTGTTATGATAAAAATGAGGTTGTATATGTATGTCTACAATATAAAATATTCAGAGTAAAAGTAACCTCTCAAAACGGTCCTTTATCTCGATCTAGATATAAGGATTCCATGTGCCATTTTGCACGACGGAATTTTCATACTCCTATATTCTTCAATATTATTCCTATTTTCTTCGGTGTGGAAACCAATCGAATGAAATCGTAACACTATATAACTTTTATTGTTAAAAACATAAAAGTTATTTTACGATGGCATTGACGTGCAGTGGTTTGCAGTATTTTTTGGTCTTAAACGTATCATCACTAAAAGAAGTTGTGCAACCATATAAACTTCCTCTAACTTTAACTCATTACCGAAAGAAGAACAAAACTTAAACAAGTAATTGAGCTAAAACTTGCACCATATAAAAACATGTTATTTTAGCAAACAACTTGAAAAATTAGAACTAGCACTAAACCAACCCAATTTCTTAAACTGCACTAAAACCGAAAGTTTCCAAATAAAGCGGTGTCACAAAATTATATGACATACTGTCCGTTCAACAACTTGTTTTTTATATGTTTTCGGGGGTATACTAGAAAATGTGGAGTATTTTCTCGAAGGAAAACAACATTGGGACAGAATGGGAGCTCGGAATGGCATCTGGTCAGCCATTACGGGGCTGTCCGTTATAACACAACCAATACGTGTCTCTTGAAGTTGATGAATGTTTCTCTGAAATGAATCAAACAATGATAAGTCTGATAGATGATTTGGGATTTAGCTGTACTTCACATAAAAGTTGGATAAAATTATTATAATGGAAGTAATGGAAGTAAGCCATTTAATCAATACCCATTTAAACTGTCAAACACCAAGCGGTCACCGGTGACCGCAACCTATTGATCTATAATTGTGTCTATAATGACGGTACTCGACGAGTTAATTTGCATTACAAAATGTTTCGGTTCTTGAAATAATGCAGTACAATCCGTTTTTGTTGGTTTTAACTTTAAAAATCACTGCAAAACAAAGGACATTACGAGACAACTTCCAAATTAAAGTATCTGCATCTATTGCACAATGTGCAGAACAAATTATTCGTCGTAGCTACGCTTTCTTAAATTGTTTTCTTTTTTGTTGTCTGTTTTCTCCATTCTTCCACGGCTCGTTTGAGTTCCCTATCCTTTTATTTCAACACTTTACTCATTGTGTGGCCTTCACCGAAAAAACTGAGCAAAAAAGACTTCATGATAAGAATTTTCTGGAAGCAATGATCATTACGGCATCCCTTGCATTATACCAACTTTTGTTGATCTATCATTGGTTTGTTTTGACACCTCAGGCGTTTCGAAAGCTGTCTTTTTATTTTTGTTTCCCGGTTTTTGTCCGTAAAGTTTCGAAGTCCTCAATTCGAGACATCGTTATACGAATGAAGTAAGTGTTTAAGATGTTTTGAGAGAAGTAACTTTTCGGATTTTGTTTAAAAGACTTTGTATTTCCGTCGTCGTTTAGAATCTTGTTATTTTCTGATTTTACTTTGGTAAGTATTTTATTCGCGTTTTGCATATATAATAACAAATCATGAATTATGTACATTAGTTTTTCGTCCGGAACGCTTGGCTGGTACACCTATAGAAAATAAAAATTGACCTTTACCTATACATTCTTTATTTATGTATTTACATTACATGTACTTTTACAGCAAATAATTTTAACACACTTAACCATGCCATATTTTTCAACAACAAAATACATATTATATAAGCTATGTTTACGTTTAAATTTGCTTAGTGATTACTTTCTATATCATCCTTAACTCATGATCAAGATATAGTTATATATTTTTTAATTTAATAATGTGAAATCTATCCGTGAAAACCTGTAATTGGCTTTCTGATGTTATTATATTATCTCTTTGTTTGTTATGTGCAGCTGTTGGTTTTCCAATCCATAAATAAAAAAATAAAAAGACATATACGTATACATTAACACTCATCTAGTACAACCTGATTTGAACTCAGAGCTATCTAAACAGATTCAAGAAATATGTCCTATGAAATATGACAGGTTTAATTTATTTTGTTTACCATTGTCACATTTCCGTATACTTTTTGCTTGTCTTGAAAAAATATGACGAAAATTATTTAAGCAAAAATCTTTTTATAACTCCATTGTTCACTTACTGAGGCAAGTGACATGCGGAGAATACTTAATGAGACATCGGTACATGTCGATCGAAGAAAAATTAAGTAAATATGTATGTATAAATTGGTTATTTATGCCAAAGTACGTATAATGATTAATTTATTTGCCTATTTTTCAAAACTTCGTATAATTGAACGCCCTGGTTATTAACAATTACGCTTTTACTTATCTTATATAAAATGTACTTAAATTCTATCACTGATAAGCAACTCTACATCTATATTGTTAAGTTCTAAAATTTAAGTAAAGCTTAAGTTCTAGTTATATATCTAAAGAGTCAGATTGTTAAGACTTGATATTCACCGTTAGTCTTTTATTTTAATGTGCCAAAATGTAAAAGAATTTTACCCAATTGTTTACGATTGTCACCGATTTGTTTGCTATCTCTCAAAATTCCAATAACAAACATTCCTTAAAGAAGACACGCTGGAAGAATGGAAAATAATTCTTACATCCCTGAACTCAATGTTCTTTTTTCGTTGCAAAAAATTCAACGAGATTGGAAAACTGCAATTCCTAGATTTGTGGCCGTGTAGACGTCTAAATGGAAGACAAGTGGAAATTCTTGGAAGTTTGTAGACACCGCACGAGTTCTTCGTACTTTGACGTAGTTTCCATACGTGATAACAAATTGCTTCAGTTCTGTTGTTTTTGGACTGTCTAGTATTGGCTTTTGTTTGGTCTGGATTGTGACTTCTTGGTTGGTTTATGCAAGTGTTTGAATGAGTTTGAAAAATAAAATAAATGTAACTTTTGATATTAGAATGCATTAAGTATTGTGATGCTTTACATCTTAATTGCACATCACATCAATTACTTATTATGTTTTTCGGATTACTCGCGTAATTATTTGACGAGGAACTCGACTATTTTTATAAGTAGTTGAAAGTTTCGTGTAGCCAGTAGCAGCGCGACAGTTGACACGTCGCGGGTTGCGAAATGCTACTCATGAATATGAGCCTCCAGCATGACTTGAAACTGGTCAAGTGCCTCGTCAAATAATTACGTGAGTAAGAAAAACATAATTATTGATTTAGTATGTTTTACAAAAGTTACTCATCACATTGTTATTTACAGAAACTCGTAATTTTTAAGTCTATATTGTCATAAGATGAGAACTAGACGCAAAAATAAAAATCTATTTCGTTTCCAACACAACAAACGCTGGCTTTAAGCCTTTTATTATTTCGGAAAAGTAACACAATAGAATACCAAAATCAAACCGTGTGTAGATAGAAGTTACAAACGGTCGAGTGGTCGGTAAGGGTTGTCGGCGGTCCAGCACGTAGGCTAATAGCACGTAGTGTCGAGGCTCGCGTCGCTTGCAAAGACCGGAGGCTGTTTGGTTACTAGGGATTTGGATTGCTATGTATGTATGTATGTTATAGATTAGGATGTAGACAGTCCTTTTTGTAGGATATTATTGAAACCACACGATTTCTTTTTATTTTTGTTTTTTTTTTAATAAATCGTTGTCCCGCACTAGGATTTTCTCCTGTGCAGTGGGTGCGTTTACAAACATAAAAGTTCACATACACATGACACCTAGACCCGAAACAATAATCTGTGGAACACACAAAGAGTTGCTCCGTGCGGGAATCGAACCCGCGACACGTTGGGCGGCAGCCAGTGACCACTGCACCAACCGTGCAGTCAAGTCAAGATTGTTAAAGTTTTTCTTTGTATATATGACTAAAGAGAACAAAGCCTAAGGGACTACACATTTAAGAAAGATCGGGTAGCAGCAGTACGCTCTAGGGCCTTAGTACAAATTTGTTTTACATTTAATGTAATCGAAACCACTCCGCGTTCTGCGCTCTGATTGTTTAGTTCATTGGAACCGGCCAATCAGTGCGCCGAACGCGGTATCTTTTAAAAGTAAAACAAACTCGTGCTTAGCCATATGATAAACTTCAACTTATTAAACTGCTGTCTTTGACCAACCTATCAAGGGCATAGATTATGGCAAATTCTTCTTAGGTATAAGAGGCCCATACTCTAGTAATGCACTGTCACGAGCTATGACAGATAATGAATAGAAAATGAACTTGAATAATTGACTATTGGGCGATGACAACATGACTGCCGCTGATTCATTATTTGTATAGGTACTGCATACTTTCCTTCATAAAACAGCCGTAGCTGTGTAAAGTATTTGTTACTTTATACATTTCTCTATTTAACTATAGACATAGGAGACTATTAGTATCGACTAACGCTTTACAAACACTTGAATAGTCAGTGTCAGTCGATAGTCCACTGCGTAAACTGTTAGTACCGAGCCTACATCGGTTGTGTGGAATATATCTGAAACAGTTTCAATTTGAGGTGAAACTCCTTTTTTTCCTCTTTCTGTGGTTTGGGTTCATTCTATACATACTGCATGCATTTCATTCGTTGGAATAAAAGATTGTGTGGAAAACGGGGCCTGTTTCTATTTTTTTTAGAATAAAGCCATATACATAGGTATAAATGTTGAACAAACTGATTTTAAGAAAATAAAATAAGTTGTCATAGATTTTTTGCATGTTGCATCTTTTTTTTATGGGTAAACGAAAAGGGAAGAGGGGGGGGGGGAATCGAGCATCCGTTAACCTCACTCACATGACGAAACACAACACAACGTTGTTTCACGTCGGTCTTCTGTGAGGCCGTGGTATCACTCTGGTCGAGCCGGCCCATTCATGCCGAAGCATGGCTCACCCACACTTTACTTTGTCACATGAAACATCATTGTGTTGAAGGTAATTATTTACTTGGATTCGGACAAATATAGTATATTTTTTTCACTTCATAAATATAGCATTTGATAGTATGGTAGATTTATACATGTGGCACAAGTTAAGTGTATTTTCTGCAATAAATTAATAACATTATGACATGATATTTTGTCGTGTTCAGATCGAACTTACAATACATTTTAAATCTAATATCAACCGTAAACTAGTTCACGATATAAATGTTACTATGACGGAGCAGTTTGTTCAATTTCCCGTACATCTAGATCAGCTTCATAGATGTTTTATTCAAGGCTACTATGTCCCAAAACGGTACCGTTTCAAGTTATTCCGGAGCACCACTTTCAAGCTCAGAAAAACATGTTTTTCTTCATCTTTGTTATTGAACGATGTTCTCAAAATATTTTCCGTACTCCAGACCCTGAATAAAGCGGGTTATCATCAAAACTTGTTTATAACGGTCGCTTTAATACACGAACGTCACGCAAAACTTAGCCCGTTTGCACAGTGACTTAACACGCAAAATTATGCTCAATAATCCTCTATCAAAGTCACATACTTACTATGTAAGTGCTGTACTATAATGTTAAGTTCATAAAGATGATAGTGGCGTACGTGGTTTCGAGAAGTTGGGCGAGACGTGACTATATTGTAATACGTTTTATATGCGTTAAGTCTGTGTGCTATAGTAGAATATAGACTTTTTGTTTTGTTGGTACTGCGTTTCCTTTTCATGTCGTATTCATCATATTATTTTGTGTTCTATCTAACATAACATATCAAAAATTATTCTGAGATATCATAATGACTGCCTCGTTGGCTGAACGGTCGCAAGTGCGATTGCCGGGCAGGAGGTCTCAGTAAAGTATTACTAGGTGTTTTTTAAATTTTCAGTTATAGCACGGAGTCTGGAATTGTGCCCGGTATATGGCAATATTCTCACCCCCTATTACATGGGACTCATAACATAAATAGTGAAAAGTAGGTGCTACACTGCACAGTGGCATTAAGTGCCGTAATGTGCACCTCTGCCTATCCCTTCGGGAATCAAAGGCGTGCTGTTATGATATCATAATGTCAAAACCTCAAATTTGGAATATCCTTAATCTTCTATTTTGGCTGTTAACGATGTGTACTTATGTGTTGGTTATACGGAACTAAAAACTCTATTAAATACGGAATTATACACAGATTAAATATATGATTTACACGAGTCACTAGAAAATCAGAAAATCACTAACAAATAATTCCAATCATCACAAATCACAATATTTATATGTAAAACGAATACAAAAATATGATAAGGCGCAAACCTTTCTTACATCATAACATAGGATATAACCCGCGAAGAGTTCTAAACCTATACTATATTCCTCAATTTACGATATTCCCTCCGAATTCGCGAATAAGTAAATAAGTTTCGTATCTTATATAGAGGTAGGCATTTACTCCCGTTTTATCGTATTGTGCTCTAGGCTCAAGAGCAATTTGGTTAAATATATTGATGGCAGTTTCTAAATGTTATTCAAATTAAATGGTTCATCTAGGTACTTCTGTTTGATTGGGTGGAAGGTATTTTTTTACAATAACCCTATTGTGATGCCTAATTTTCATTTTAATGTCCGTCTGGTAGATCATTTTAAATCATGAGACAAGTATTTTTTATTTTCTTTCAGAAACGAATGCTTTCGACGATATATTGGTTTGAAATGTCGCGTGACGTCATTTCTATTACATTTTATACGTAGAAATGACGTTTTAACCCCCACTCTTAAACTTTGATTCGTTTTATCTAAGTATTGTTTTATTATAAGACAAAATAAAAAAATACATGTCTAATATTTTTTCATTGCCTAACTTACGGACTAATTAGATTTTTAATTTTCATACCCTGTCATCATCTCAATTGCTGGTGAATATTTATGAATTTATTTTATTTTGGTCTTGTTTAAAAGAACTGAATCGTCTAAGATACTGTTTAAGATACATTTTAATCATTATTGAAATGTTTAATTAACAATGTCTATTTCAAAATGTATTGAAAAAATCATCGAAACCAAAGTCCAATTATTTTTTCGATTTACTTACAATTTTCTCTGGGAACAAATCTTTTTTCTTTCTATCCTCTGAGAATTGAATATGGGACCTTTTTCCGCTCGATTCAACTTTTTATATAGACACCATGAAATTGCACTTTCATTATTTAAACAAGAAAGAGATTGATTTTCTTGGAATATGACAGTTATTTTTCGAAAGCTATAATCGTAATATTTATCTTCTTTGCATAGGAATAAGAAATTAATGAACAGTTTTTACATTGTTAGGTTGGTGTACCTAGTATTAAGGTGAATTCAATGTAGGTTTTAATCTTTTCTCAATTCACATTTAAAGTAAAGTAATACATACGAAAGTAAGTTGTGTTTACCGCGATGTCACGAACCAGAAGCAGTAGCAGAAGCAGTAGCAACCAGTAGCAGAAGCTAGTCTGTCGTGAATGGTTAAATTAACCATTCACGACAGACTAGCTTCTGCCAGCGGTTTTACCCGCGTTCCTGTGAGACAAACAGTAGCCTATGTATTCCAAACCATAGTTTACCCCTTGACCTTATCTTAACCCCATCAGTCGTTTTGATGTTAAGGAGTAACAGTAAAACAAACAAAATTTCGCACTTTTCATTTTCGTAAGATTTCAATTCAGAGATAAATAGTAAAGGTAGACATAGGTTTACCTACTAATTGCAAAAACTTAAACTGGTGGACAATTGAATTCAAAGAAAGACTACATTAACACAAGACAAACCACAAGAGTACTTGATGATAACATAATAAATTCTCTTTATAAAATACTAAAAAATATTAGATAGCCTATCTGAAAAGATTTGCCTGTTCAAATCTCCTTTTTGCTTTATCTACCTACTTACATTTAATTAAAATTTGCTAAGGCGCGTTCATTAATTGTTCAAACTTAAGATATACCTTGTAATTTTTGCGGTTCTACAAACGAAGCTTGCTTGCTAATTACAAAGAACATTATGGTACAAGAAAAATGTTACAGAGTTTTTATTTAATTAGGCTTAATTTTTAATTTCTTTGAAATTAAGTTTGGTTTTTACTTACTGCTGTGGCCGATCTATGCGGACGAATATCTTATGCTATATTTCATTTTTATTGCTCGTACTTTGTAGGAGAATATTATTCAATGATCGTTTTGGGTGTCTGTATCTAACAATATCTCAAACTGAAATTAGTTAATGTGAGTCAATTCAATTATAAATGAGTTTAGAGACATATTTGTATGTATCTGATTTTGTGGAAAATGTTTCGCATTTTCTTGTCAATAATCTTTTGAATTATTGCAATGTGAATACTATAATTGATAAAGCTTTAGTGTTACTTATAAGAACAGTATTAATATTATTGGAACTGAACATTCTACCAACTCTTGATACGTAACCACTCATATTAAACAAATTTTATCTTTCTCTAAACATTTTTCTTCTTTTACAGTGCCTCCAAACATAGTGGACGAAGGTACGAGTGGAGACCTCGTCTCTAGAGAAGGTCAAGACGTAAGTCTCTCCTGCAGAGCTGAAGGTCGACCTTTGCCAAGAATTCTTTGGCGAAGGGAAGATGGAGCCAATATTCAGCTGAGAAACGAAGCTGGTGAGCTTCGAAAAGGTAAAACATACTTTGTTCTTATATTAAAAAGAGTTCAGTTTTCCCTGCACTGCATTTTCTTCGACATGAAATCACTTCTCTAATACATTTTAAATTCTAAACCTAAAAGAATTCACTTCAATTTAGAACCAAAGAATTTTCAGTTCATTTTTTTTCTTATATATATTTTTAAAACCTACAACGTCCGGTAAAAAAAATTTTCGCTATAAAAAGTAGTGACAAGCCCCAAAGTAAAAATAAATCGAAACATTGTTTTTTTTTTTGAAAGATTATTTATAAATGTTAGACACTATTTTTTGCTTTCTTACGGAAATAAACACTTTCAACAATATATTAATTCGAAATATCGATGTCCCTTTTGTGTACGTTTTTTACTAAAAATGTCGTAGCTAGCTCCCACTTCTTAACTTTGTTTCATTTTATCTAAGTATATTATAATGTACGACAAAATAAATAATACGTCTCAACATTTTTCATTACCTAACTGTCGAATTCATTTGATTTTTAATTTTCATACCCCAAAATCATCCCTATTAGACAAAAATTACGTAAACTAAATGCTTTACCCCAGCAGATATTTTAAACAACACTAACTAGCCAGTTTTAACTTTACAATAAAAACTACGTAAGACGAAAGAAGACTAGAAGGTGTAGTAAACTGCAGACACTTCAAAACAAGTTAGACGATTGAGGCAATTAAACTTGTTCGTTAAAAACTTTGTAACTTTTTAACACAAGAACTAACTTCCTACTTAAGTTAGGCGTTACGGAAAGAATTCTAATAAAATTACGTTCTGAACGTAAAGTGAAAAAAAAAGGCTAACAATTTTGACTTTGGCAGCAAATCAAAGCGGTTGGGCTCGGAATTTTGATGGGGAATTGCAATACATGTCATATTTGCTTACTTGAGAGTGAGAGTGTCTAAGTGATGGGTCACAGACCGTGTGTTACAGTCTGGATTATGTTTGTTTTTTAAAATGTTATTTCATTTTGTCATCCACTTTATACATAGAAGAGATAATTTTGAAGTATGGACCAATGACAACTTCTGATCACCTTATAAACGTGTCTTCAATGAACTAATAATTGCCATTGGAATCAGGTTAATTAAAACAAAATTTTCATGAATGTCGTAAAGACCCAATCAAAAGCTTTTCACTGTTCAATATTAATTTGTAACTAAGTTTAGACACTACAAAAATTAATTTAGTATGAACTACGGAATATTTGGATTCCTTTAACAAAATAGATCAAAAAACCTATTTCACTAAATTGGAAATACACTCAAGGATATTTTTGATACAATCAATTCAAAACTTTAAACTAACATTGTTTTGTGTCGTTTTTGGTCCGCAGTGCTCGTAGTGTTTTACATATAGATAGATACAAAATCGTGGTCGGTAGCGAAATCGGTATCGTAAAATGCAAACAAAAGAACGTCGGTGCACCACCGCACACCGCGTGTGGTTTGTGGAACTCAGAATATTTCATAGCGTATTTTATACGTGAAGACTGTAGTTCGGTAATTTCGCATACAACCGCCATTTTTTGGTGCATAGTTTCAATTTATAGGTGAGAGAAAAAGGGTATCCGAGAATGAAGTTATTATGTTGTTACTGTGTTCTACCTACTTTTTTATGAAATAAGCATATAAATGGACACCCGAAACACTAAAGGTGTTACCAGTGCGTTACCGGATTTTTAGGGATTAGGAATTTGAGGATTATTGAGTATTCGGGGATTGGAGACATTGGGGAGAAGGGTAATTGGGCCCCCGGTAACCTCACTACGAAACACAACGAAAGCGTTGTTTCACGTCGGTTTTCTGGGAGGCTGTGGTATTGCTCCGCTCGAGCCAGCAAATTCGTTCCGAAGAAGCATGGCTCTTCCACACTTAAGTATTTAAATGACATTTTTTCAGTCTTTCGAAAATTTATTGTAGAAGCATAGTCTAGTATTTGATTCAAATATAATATGAAAATACGTTCAACCTCAGTTTGGAGTTGCATGTAAAAATGCCCGCCTCTTGTACTTATATTATTGAATAACGTGAAGCTGTGTTATATTAATGTCGAGTTTACCAGAGTAGCGATCCAGACATACATCTTAATTATAATGTAAATCTTATAAATGTCTGAAGTTAATTTTAACCATCATTTCAAAGCACCAGCTATCTTTGATGATTAAACACTATTAAACAGATATTATCAACAACCAGAATACGCTGTACAGCACCTGCAAGAGTCGCTTTGAGTACAATATAATCATTTAACAACTCAGAGATATACATTTACATTTAGCAAAGCAACTGACTTCTCCACTTCTTCCACTTTATTCTTATTCAGCTTGCAACCATTGAAAACTAACTATGATTACTCTTTCAGAAAGTAGTAAAGATTATAATCAGACCTGACTTTTAATGTAATTGAATCTGCCGTCAATTTCTTCTGCCTTATCTGTTCATCGGATCCTGAAAATAGAAGATCTGGTAGTCAAATTAATAGTTACCTTCTTGGTGTTATACAAGGATGCCGAGCAGTTAACGTTCAACCGTAAAATTTAGATTCTATATGATGAGGAGTATCCAAATCACCCCCATGTACCTATGTTCTACAATTTTGCATAGTTTTCGAGGTATAATGTTTCTTTCGTAATTTTCATTTTTCCATATTTCTAATTCTGTTGGACATTTCTGGTTCAGTTATTTTGTGATAACTATGACTAACATAGTCTAACCAAGCCTTCGATCAACAATAACAACTAGATAAAGGGTTACGTACAAAATCAAGCTCCAGTTCTGTCCGTGTGAATAATAATAGTAAAAAATAACAAACAGAGAAAAATGTTTTAAAATAGTTTTAAGTTCAACCTAATAACAACTATGGCACCTAATAATAAAGTCATAAATCGTCAAAATATTATCTAATACTTACGACCATTCGTCATATAAGACAAGAAAAGTATTTTCTTACTCCTGTCATGTAGAAATTAAAAGACATAAGTTATACAATATCTAGTTTGAATTCAACCTTAAGGTCGAACAAATAAAGATAATTTTTCCATTATTGTCTTGCGATCTATATCGTTTTGTTTTGTTTCGTTTTGCTTCTTCAAATTTCGAATTTCACTACAGGAGGTATGTATGGAGTCGCGTTGGACACTAAAATAATTTTATAATATGAAAATTAACATTTCGGGATCTTAGTATACATAACTAATTTTTATTAGCGGTACGTTTTTGTGTATGATATGTTTATTTACTTTATCGTTAAAAGTCTAAGTCTAAGTCTAAATTATTTATTTCAGTTATACCAGGAAGGCACTTTTGAACAACAACAATATAAATTTAAAAGTGAAGCTATTTGCTTATTCCAAGGTGTAGATTCCTATGGAGAAGAACGAGCAAGAAACGATACAATTTCTTATTTTTTTAATACAAATCGACTCCATGCATCCACTGTTCTGTTTATACAAATGTTGGCGAGACTTGGCCAAGGAATCGCCAACATACGCACAAACATTGGTGGCGTTGGTTTATAATTGGTAATTTTGTCTAATTTCATATTATTTACTAGTTTAAAAGCTTAAAATACAACTTATACTTTATGTACTTATCAAAAGTAAGACATTCCGGCCGTTATACTGCTTTTTCGGTTGTTATTTTTGCAACTTGCAATTACTCGTGAGACGTGAGTACGTTGGCCGTGTTTGGAGCATACTAAACAAAATAAGAGCTCACTTCTCAAGTGAGCTCTTATTTGTCGAGACGATTTTCTTGCGCCGACCCGATATCTAGTTGTTATTGTTGATCGAAGAACCAAGCACCCTAAAACCTTAATACCCACCTTCCCTAACGTCAACGGGCAGTTGAGGTATGCAATCCAAAAAAGAAAAACAAAAAAAAAGGAAAAAGAATGGTTTAATAAATAATAAGTAAAATCGTTTAATTCGTATCAAAAAGTGTGTAGTAAAATAAAAATTCTCTTTCTAATCAAATGATCTTTATATCAAAGTCAAAGAAATTTTCCTATAAAGTACTTCAAGGGGATCAGAGTACCTAAGTTATTTTTATTATACGCTGGTTCTTCAGAAAATAAAGTATTATTGAAATCTTAAATTAGGGCGCTCTTTTTTCTTTCATTTTATAAATATTTTATACCTACCTACGTCACCACGACAAAAAAATACTTAAAATAGGTAAGCACGTACATACATGTACATGAAATTAGGCAAATATGTTCAAAAACGTTTTATTCATCTTTATAAGTATATAAGTGGATCAACGTATTTTCTTCAAGAAAATATCTAAATATTATACTCTTCACGTTTCTATTACATATTTTATGTACATTATAACATTTTTTTTATATTTTAATAGAATATTTTTAAGAAATTGTCTTTTAAGTTAGTAACTACCAACGTTTGAACTAATATTCTATTAAAATAAACGATTTTGAAGTGTGGGACGAATGGGCCGGCTCGACCGGAGTGATACCTCGGCCTCACAGGAAAGCGACGTGAAGCAACGCTTGCGTTGTGTTTCGAGTGTGAGTGAGGTTACCGGAGGCCCAATTACCCTCCCCTTCCCCAATCTCCCCAATTCTTGAATTCCAACGATCCTCAAGCTCCTAATCCCCAAAAGGCCGGTAACGCACTTGTAACGCCTCTGGTGTTACAGGTGTCCATGGGCGACGCCGATTGCTCACCATCAGTTGATCGTCCGTCTGCTCTTTTACCGGCTTATCCCATAAAAAAGCTAAAATTAACATAACTAATAAAAAATTTAATTCTATTTAAAAAAAAAACACATCGACATAGATATAAATCTAAAATATAATACGGTAGTTGATAGGTAGTCAAATTCAAGACTTTTATTGAAATGTCAAAAATGATACTTTTTTATGAATTTTGTATTGGATCGCAACTTATGACGTCATCATATTTCTGCGTCAAACATATGTATTTCCTTAAAATTTTGCGAGAAAAAATTCAAAAGTAGATAAATTGTCAAACCTATGGAGATTCTTGCTCGTTCTTCTCCATAGGAATCTACACCTTGGAATGAGCAAATAGCTTCACTTTTAATATTATTTTTATTTTGACGTTCAAAAGTGCCATGCTGGCCTAATTGAAATAAATGATTTTGACTTTGACAATGGATGTGAGTATGATTATTTTTTAATTATTTATTGCATTGAAAAGTTGAAACAATATATTTTAAACCTAGGAAACTACGCCAATGCGAAGAACGTTCCCCATCAATAATAAACGAGTTATTAAATTACAGATTAGGTTGTAAGTTATATTTATAAGTTATAATCCTTGCTTCTTTGCACCGTGAATGACAAGCCCCGTTTCGATTTGCGGCGGCAACGAACCGTCCCTCTTTGTGTTCGTTGCTATTACTTTAATTTCTCTATGTCAGCGCAGTCGGTGTCTCATTTCCGCGTGTTTTGCCGGTCTTCTCTATTATTGTCATTTATTTACGTCAAACTACAATGTTTTAGGCATCAGTCTAAGAATATATATTTCGGAAAAATATTTGTTTATTTTAATGAAAGTCCATGTAAAAAGTAATAGGCAAAAGATTATTATCATCACTACTTTTTTAAAGTCGGTTAAAAACTAATTTACGATTAATAGTTAAGATAGATATGGATAGTGATAGGCATAGAAAAGAAATCATAACATAGATAATAAGAAGATGGTATAGGTAGCCCACGTATATAGCAATGCTTTCATTTCTTCATTAAATAATTCAAACAACATTTTCCTTTCAGGAAAATTTTAAATCTGAGCGCATTATTCATAAAATGCTAATGAAATTCATATTTCTTTCGTTCTTTGTTCTCAGTGGATATGTTCATGGGTCCAAGCCTGAACTTGTCGAAGGTGGAGCGACGGCAGATGGGCGCATACCTCTGCATTGCGTCCAATGACGTACCGCCTTCTGTAAGCAAGAGGATAATGCTTAGTGTTACTTGTGAGTATTGAAATTAAAGTTATTGATAGATGTGACACAATCTTCAAAATCTTTTTTAGTTACTAGATTGAAAGTTGCCTGCACGATAGCTCAGCCATTAAGTTGAATACATACTGATATTTTCTGCTACGTCCTGTTGGATTGAGTACTAATACTTACTGCTTCACAATATTCTTAAAATAATCTCACACTTCTGTCATTGGAGAACAACCTACAATATTGCATATTTTAATACGTATAAAGGTACAGATGTCTCTTTTGAGAATTTGTCTCAGAATGACCACCCCATTTAATATTTTGTTTGAGAAACGTATACTAAATCTATTTATAAATATAAAAATGTCCTGTTAGTAACACTATTTGTAACTCAAGAACTGCTTAATCAATTTGGATGAAAATTTGTGGGATGATAGCTTACAACTAGGAGACAGATATAAGATAACTTTTTATCTAATACTTTTGTTTTTACTTTTTACCGAAAATCACGAACGGGACCAGGAAAATGGATTGCGCATACGAAATCACGTGCTGAAGCTAGTAATTTAATAATTTAAAGTTACTATAATTAAGTACCTGTAAAATATTACATGATTTAGTATACGTATATTAAACTCTATTCTTGATTAGTACTCATTTTACTAAACTTCTATAAAATGAACGATAAGTGTAGTCGCAGTTTTAACGATGCAAAAACTTTTTAACTACTGCCAGTACTGCGTTGGCCAATTAAATTCTCTATACGTGATTGGTTTTATTTATACCTTTTTTTACAGTACCTATAGTAAATCCGATCCTGACTCTGTTACAGCCTTTTTTCTAACCGTTTCACGTTGGCACCTTTCGATAGCCGTTGATATCATTGAGGTAGTTGACTTTGTAGGTAGTAATATAATTGCAGTATCAATGTAATTGTTCCAGATCGTAATTCAACGACTGCTTTATTAGTTAAATTAATAAATTTCACTACCAAGGTCCTTCAATAGTACAATGATGATCCTAGAGGATGAACAGGAATTTTGAAAATATTCAGTAGTTGATAGGCCAGAGCCTATCCCTGATAATGTACATTTTCTCGATACTCGCAATCCATTTACTAGACCAATGAAGAACTTAACAGGTACATAAGTACAATTAATTTTATTTGAGCGAAAAGAAAATGGGTGTCTCTTAGAATAGTACCTACTCAACTCATCTATGAAACTTGAACTTTCCTACATATAAATAAACACTATTCTAATTAAATTCTTGTTCACAGTTCCACCATCAACCTTAGTGGCGACCAAGGTGATTGGTGTGCCAACGGGGTCTCAAGCCAGACTGGAATGCTTCGTGGAAGCGTTCCCTCAAGCCATACATTACTGGCTCAAAAGTGGGGAAGAAATGATATTATCAGGGTATGTGAAACTATCATAAATAAATGTATTTCAGAAATATCCATGATAATTTTTTTTATATCATAGATGAATATGGTAACGATATGATCTGTAGCAGCGTCTTATTGAATTAATAAAGTCCTAGAAATAGCGCAGGATTTTGATAGCTTAGACAAATGTAACTGAACCTAATGGTAAAACCACTACATTTTATAATTTGCAGTCTCAAAAAACAGTTTCTTGTATTTCCTATGTAGTGGTTTACCATTAAGTTCACGTACCTATCAACTACAAGTACCTATCTAAAATCTAGATGTCGCAATAATTTTAATTTTCAACGCTACGGCCCTTTTTTATGTCATTTCAACAATTCAAAATGGCCGCGTTAAACATTTCAAAGTAAACAACCCTCGTTTGCCGTTCCAGTCTCATGCCCATAACGTTTAAACAAACCAGGTCTAAAATTCTAACAAACAAATACAAAAGCTGTAATTATAACCTAAAATGGGCAGCAGCCGCCGATATCAATCGTAACTGTAAAACTCCCGTTAAAATTCTGTCCAGACGAGGGACTTCTGCTGACTTGAAGTAACAGTATTACGAAGGATCACAATATTCTTATTAATTCTCTTTATGAGTTATTCGATATAAGTAGTTTAAATAACGTTTTTTCTTCTCCTCTAATAATATCTTCTGATTTATTACGTCAAGGGATTCATGCCCCTGGAACGCACCGGACTTCACTGTCCCTGTGTTTTCATGGTTGTATCTACTATACCTGGCTTACAGAAGTTGCATTGGTTAAGGAAGGTTTTGGCGGGCTTTTCCCTTAAAAAAGTAGTTTAAAAAGAATTTTTTATCATTACCCGTTACACAGTCTTATGCATAGGTTGCCCACTGTCCAATAGTGATCTGATGATGCATTTTAGTTCTCTGTAGACATTTTTCTTACTTTTTAATTGATTTTTGTACTCGTTGGACCAAAGTTTCTCGTTTGCTCAGGCCATAAAAGTACCAACGAAAACCGACTAAGTTCTCGAACATTCCTTTGTCATTATCATTTCCCTTCGCATCTGTTCCTGGTTTTACTACGAAACGCAATAAAATTGCCAATATTTAGGTGTTTTATTAGTCATTATTGTATATTAGGGACGTTATTGCCGTTTATTGTCTGGTTCGTAGCCCTTTCTTGGCTTTTTGCTATGTAAGAAGCTTTAACCAATTACCGGGACTAGGATTGGTCATGTTCATGAGCTATTAAGGTGGTGTAGAATTAAGAAAATAAGGAATTAGGTAGGTACTTAATGATGCTGTAATTTATATTTTTAATGTCTATTTTTAATTTCGATCTAAACTAGATTAAAAGAAAAAATGTGAAAGAAAATCACTGTACATAAAATGGTAAAAAATTCAGATAGTAGATATTTATGACCAAATTATTGTACCTACCGATTTTCTTTTCATAATATAGTTTTAATAGGACGTTTCCTTTAAAAATACTATCACTCACTTATTCAAATGAAATTAAAATAATTACTTATTATAATTCTCGTTATTCAAGAGAACCTTACGAAATTAGTTGAAACACCCAAGGAAAGTAATTAGACAAATTAGTTCATTATTTTGTACAATAATCACTGAGTCGTTTTCACGTTTATGACGTCATAAATTCTCCAAGTCTGCAGGCGATCTTCTCGACCTTTATGTATTTCTTATTGTTCGTGAGTGAACTTTGTTTTATAGATTTTCTATATGTATTATAAAAGGATTGTAGATTTAATGGTGATCCCATCTGCACTAGTCACTTTAACATTATGAGTTACTAGCTTCTGTCTACGGCGTCGCTCGCGTTCCCGTGGAACAAAAAGTGGCCTATGTTTTATTTTATGGGATAAGCCGGTAAACGAGCAGACGGATCACCTGATGATAAACAATCGGCGCCGCCCATGGACACCTGGAACACCAGCGGCGTTACAAGTGCGTTACCGACCTTTTGGGAATTGGGAATTTGAGGATTGTAAGGATTCAGGGATTGAGGAGACTGAGGAGGGGGGGGTGACATTGGCCCTCCGATAACCTCACTTACATGACGAAACAAAACGCAAGCGCTTTTTCAAGTCGATTTTCTGGGAATATGTATGTGTGTGTTCCAAATTTCATTTCGATCCCTTCAGCTGTTTCAACATGAAGAAGCAATAAATAAACATACAAATTAGTAGAATGACTATGATGAAAATGATTAAGTATGTAATATAATGAATTCAAATGAAATATGTTAAACTTTTTCTGCAGTTTTATTACCCGCAACTTCATGCGCTTAGAATATAAACATTAGGCGGACTTTTATGTATTTTAATTTTTACTCTAGCCTATTAGCTATATAACTAAAATGGATTCAGCTTAATATGTGTATTAATTCCGTATATATTGCTAATTACAATAACAAACGTTATGAGTATAATTGTACATTTATAACGTTTAATATTTCTTGCTCATCGGTCCCTTCCCAGAAATATTTGTGCTTCTATCGAGCTAATGATTCCAGGAATACGGTCTGTACCAATTAATATATATGTCAGCATTGTGTTGTGGCTATATATGAGAGTGAGATATATATATATATATATATATACTAGCGACCCGCCCCGGCTTCGCACGGGTTCAATATGTATATGTTATTCATATAAACTTTCCTGAGGAATCACTCTATCTATTGAAAAAACCGCATCAATACCCATTGCGTAGTTTTAAAGATCTAAGCATAATTAGGGACAAACAAACGACGGATAGCGACTTTGTTTTATACTACGTAGTGATTAACAAATTATCTTTACGTTAAAATAAAAAAATTACGTGATAATTGAAAAGTCGCCTGAGAATATAAAATACCACTACGTTTTATAATAATTTGTATCTTCAATAAAGGTATTTACAAGTAGCAAAAAGGCTCCGTTCGATGAACTAAATTACCTAGGATTTAGCTCAAAGGAGTTTTGATACAACTTCAGAACTGAGTTTTCGGTAATTTGTCTGAATAATACAGGTAACTAAAAGTAAACTGATTAAAACTTTATTTGTTTTAGATATTGTTAGAAAACAATAATTTTGCCGTGCCCTAATTTTGGTTTTGTTATCTCTGTGCCACTGGAGGGTAGACGGACAGAATACCTTAGACTTTAAGTCCGCCCATGTACATTTTAGCATGAAGCATTAAACATTTTTTTATTGAATAAGACGTTCTATAAAACATTACTTTCTAATTATTTATGAAATCCTCGTATCTGGCAAACATTATTGCCTCGAAAAACAAAGAGAGATTTGATAGTTAATGAGAATATTTATTTATTTATTTTGTTACAGTGGCAAACATGAAATATCTGAAGAACGTATATCATCATATCAGCTGCGAACGATACTCGTAATATCGCAGTTTGATCCAGAGGATGTTGGTACTTACACCTGTGTAGCTACCAACACCATGGGCAAGGCAGAAGGAACTCTACGGTTATATGGTAAGCTACAAAATGCTTTGATGACAAAATCTATTGAATTGTGTGGAGCATGTACAGCCAGCTAATGAAATAGTTTGATAGGCAGATAACAAAGGAAAGATTGACTCACTTCAGAAACAGAGGTATTGTTGTAGGCAATTGTTCGGTTTTTGATACAAGGAAAATATTTTGTATATTTTCTAACCTCCATACCGAAAATTTGTGTTGACTGCACATGACGTCCTGACTTATATGCAATTTTTAGCTTAGATATTACGTTATTCGTTTAATTGTCATGTTAGATTAGTCTCAAATACTCCTTGAAAAGCTAGTAACTACTCAAACGTAAATTAATTATTGTTTTTCGGTTTATAATTATTTGCCAAGTAACTCGACTAGTTTCAAGCTATGCTAGAAGCTGATATTCATGAGCATCATTTCGCACCCCGCGACAGTAGCAGCGCGACTGTCACCACATCGCGAGTTATAATAGTTAATTTAGTATGTTTCACGAAAGTTCGAGAGTATAAATATCAGTCACACGTAATTAGTAAATTACTCATTTGTATGTAGACTGCCTCGTTGGCCGAGTGGTCGTAAGTACGACTGCCGAGCAAGGGGTCTCGGGTTCGATTCCCGGGTCGGGCAAAGTATTACTGGGTTTTTTTAAATATCCTCAGTAGTAGCACGGAGTCTGGAATTGTGCCCGGTATATGGCAATAGGCTCACCCCCTATTACATGGGACTCATAACATAAATAGTGAAAAGTGGGTGTTACATTGTACAGTGGTATATCAGAATCAGAATCAGAATCAGAATCGATTCGGGGATAAAAGGCGTGATGTTATGTTATGTGTCATTCGTATGTACTTTATACTGAAAACTTAATGTGTTTTTAATACTCTATTCTTTGTCGTAAATCCGTAGCTCAGTCTATTTAACTGTAATCAGCGGAACGTTAAACCGCCTGCCACAGAACTTTACCGGTGCGGTATACATACTTTTTAAACCGAATTAGTAATAAAATAAAAGCAGCTGATGATAAGATAAAAGCTACTTGGAAAGTTATACACAACGAGACTGGTAGGAAACGATTAAGAAATTCAGAATTTAGTTTAAATACTGAAAGAGGACAGATTTCATCCAACGTAGATGTAGCCCAGGAGTTTGAACATTTTTTTGCCGACATTCCTATAAAAACAACCAAAGATTTAGAGTCATCAGCAACACTCTCTGTAACTTTGCTTAAGAACCATATACAATCGTGTCAGCACGACTTTAGTTTTCGATATACGAATCCTCTTGAAATAATAAAAGTTTTTAAAGAGATCAAGATCAAATCAACTGAAGATCTATGGGGATTATCGGTAAAAGTTTGCAAATCACTTATTCAAACTATAGCGCCATACTTGGCTGTGATTTTCAATAAAAGTATAGATGATGGTGTTTTCCCTGACCTAATGAAATTTAGTAAAGTTATCCCACTATTTAAAAGTGGTGACACTAAAGAACCAAACAATTATAGGCCAGTATCTGTTTTGCCGGTTCTCAGCAAAGTATTTGAAAAGTTAATGCTGTCTCGGATGCTTCATCATTTTAATAAACATTCTATCTTTCACCAACAACAATACGGTTTTACTAAAGGTCGTTGTACAACTGACGCCGGTGTCACTTTAATGAAAGAAATATTTGGTGCTTGGGAGGAAGCACAAGATGCTATTGGTGTCTTTTGTGACCTCTCAAAAGCGTTCGATTGCGTTGACCACGAGACACTTTTGCTGAAATTAGATCACTACGGGATCAGAAACACCGCACTCTGTCTAATAAAGTCTTATTTAGAAGATAGGCAATTAAAGGTTCATGTTAATGGTATTAACTCGCAGGGCTCTACGATGAATATGGGCGTTCCACAGGGTTCAATATTGGGTCCCTTTCTCTTTTTAGTCTATATAAATGATTTGCCATTTATATTCAAGAATGAACCAAGAATGGTGCTTTTTGCAGATGATACCTCATTAATTTTTAAAATAGATCGACGTGCTAATAATCTTGACGACGTAAACAGCTCCATTCTTCGAGTGCAAAACTGGTTCACCATTAATAATCTAGCGCTTAATGAGAAAAAAACAAAATGTATTAAATTTAGTTTACCAAACGTCCGAAGTAATGATTGTGATGTTGTTTTAAACGGCCAAAAGTTAGAATTTGTCGACGAGACGGTATTTTTAGGCATTACATTAGACAATAGACTACAATGGGGCCCACATATAAAGGCGCTTTCGGGGAGATTAAGCTCAGCTGCTTTTGCAGTTAGACAGATTAGACAGCTCACGGACGTAGATACGGCAAGGCTTGTCTATTTTAGTTACTTTCACAGCATTATGTCGTACGGCATTTTGTTGTGGGGTCGAGCTGCAGAAATAGAATCAATTTTTATTCTTCAAAAGCGGGCTATCCGAGCAATATATAACTTACGCCGTTGCGAATCGCTAAGAGAATTGTTTAAAACGATAAACATCTTAACGGTGCCCTGTCAATACATATATGAAAATATAATGTATGTAAGAAAGAATAGGCAATTGTTCGAAAAAAGAAGCGATAGACACAATCTTAATACTAGAGGCAAGAATAAGTTAGCTGTACTGCAATTCAGACTGTCCAAGGTACAGAAATCCTTTATGGGGTTAGGTATTAAATGCTATAATAAAATACCAAATAGCATACTAGATCTAAATGAAAGTAAATTTAAAACATATATTAAGCGCGAATTATGTAAACAAGCGTACTACAGGGTGATTGATTATCTTGAGGATAGGAATGCTTGGCAGCGTGTTGGTTCGGCTCCACTGGACAATACTCAAATGTAGTCAGTACCTAGTTCAGATTACGATAATAGGTAATTTAACACTTTGATTCCGATGAAGGCAATCTATTTTTCTTGTGGCATCGAGCATTTCTTTCTTTATTTAAACAAGAGTATATTTTTTATTTTTTTCTTGTATAGAAGCACTATTTTATATGGATTGTCAGTATACATATGTGAGGACCATGTCAGACTTAAGATATTTGTTTTCTCTTGGTTTTGTTTTTTTTTTTCTATTTTAGTATGTTCTGTTATTTGTATGTTGCGTCAGGTATGTCTTTACATTATTCTCACATGTGTGTACAATATTGGAATATGTATCAGAGCAATGTAAAACAGACTTTTTTTAAAAAGAGTAACGAATGGAGTTTCTTGCTCGTTCTTCTCCACTCGAATCGACATTTTGGAACGAGCGCCTAGCTTCACTGACGGACAGACTGACAGACTATTATATATCTCATATTTGTTGACGTTTCAAAAGTACCAAATTATGGTCTAATTGAAATAAATGCTTTTGAGTTTGAGTTTGAGTTTGAGTTTGAGTTCTGAAAAGTTTGTATAAAACTTTTTAAAGAAAAAGTTTTTGCTATCTTTGGGTATATGAAGGTAGGTAGGTATTTATAGGCCAAAACTTTAGATTAACTTTATTAGCTTAACTACATCTTAATGTGGGTATTCTTCTGAATCAAATATATAAATTCAAATTACATAAAGTAACATTATACCGTTTTCCCCACATACAACATCCACGTTTCATAATTCGTATTTGTATTACAATTCGGGCAAAACCATTCTGCTACAGAGAATTCAAAAAATCCGAAAAACTTACCGATACTTCACTCAGTAAACAAATCAAAACCGAACGCCCAGTCATATACTCAACCATTCGACAAAGTTATCATGTATGTTTTTTTATACAGAAATCAAAATTACAACAACAACAACTACAACGACAACTACAACAACGACGACCACGACGACTACAACAACTCCGGCGCCGACAACAACGGAGCCCCCGCCACGTAAGTTGTAATATTAGTTAACTGTACTAGTAAACTGATATAAGACCAATAACATACTTATGCATACAATAACACAAACACATGACTTTACTCCATATAGATGTAGGCAGAAAATAGGTACAGACAGAGTTTCTACAGGTTGTGCTTAGTATTCAATGTATTCCTGCGTTCCTCGTTTTTGTTCAAGAACGTCACGTCAGTCAAATTATGGTCGTATTTCTATATTACCTTTTTTTATGGCATTAGCCGATAAACGCAGATGGATCACCTGATGGTAAGCAATCGGCGTTGCCCATGAACACCTGGAACACCAGAGGTATTACAAATGCGATGCCGGCCTTTTGGGGATTATGAGTTTGAGGATCGTTAGGGATTCAGGAATTGGGGAGATTAGGGAAGAGGAGGGTAATTAGGCCTCCGGTAACCTCACTCACACGACGAAACACGCTTCACGTCGGTTTTCTGTGAGGCCGTCGTATCACTCCGGTCGAAGCATGGCTCTCCCATACTTAAAACTTACCTACTAATGTCTACTCCAGATAAGAGTTTCAATAAATTAATCAATGACAACTAGTATCAATACATAGTATAAAACAAAGTCGCTTTCGCTGTATGTCCGTATGTATGCTTAGATCTTTAAAACTACGCAACGGATTTTGATGCAGTTTTTTTTAATAGATAGAGTGATTCTTAAGGAAGGTTTGTATGTATAATACATGCATATTGCACCCGTGCGAAGCCGGGGCGGGTCGCTAGTAATTAATAAAACTAAGTTCTCAACTATAATGAACAAACAACGTGATATTTTCTCTTTTAATTAAAAAAGACTTTTTTGTACACAAACAAAAGTAATATCACAAAAAATGTTCATTTATACATTCGTAGAATCATTAAGAAAGAATAAATTATGATAATCCACTCGGAGTATGCATTTATTTCTGTCACCGCATTGAAATTGACGATTTTTCATAATTTTGTCTACGTCATCAAGATGAATCGTGGAAAAGGTTTCATTTGTCATAATCCATTCAGTAATTTATGAGTGCGATAAGAAAAAAAGAATGCCTCTCGAGAGGTACCTACCTAAAAACTTCGATTTTTTTCGAATGTTTGGAGACCGCAATTGGGGTCAGTGATTTTTGCTATCATCTAGGATTTATGGCTCAAAAAGTGAAACAGTACTGCTACAATCCGCCTGTCTTCCGACTATGTTCTATTTTATACGATTTTCAACATTGTGGTTTTGTCTGTAATCCTTTTGCATCTTAGGTGCATTTGAACTTAAAAAGATATGAAGAAATAGCTGTACACTTAAAAATTGGTACTTGTCATGTAAGAAACTTAGACCTAATTAGTTAAAACGATTTAGTTAAGGAATGTACTATATTAATCGAGCACATGTTTCCAACACAGCCATATTAACCTCTCAATAATCAAGTAATGAGGACGTGTAGTTTATCGAGACAAAAATCCACTAAATCTCAATTTATTTTATAGCTTATTCACATGACCTAATTATTGTCCCTAGGTTTCGTGGTACCTCTCCAACCAGCAGAACAAAAGTTCTACACGCCAGATGTCACAACGTATGGTAAGTAGCAATAACTCGAAATACACGATCGGCTTAATAATTTCCACATCAACAGACAAAGCAACGAATCAAAGGAATTCTCATATCGTTTATATGTTTTTTGCTCGTTTACAAATCGAAGCCGATGTTGATTAAAATATTATTTATTGTAAACAATCTACCTTTACGTAAATATGATTTATCGAAGACACGAGTGTTTGTATTGATCTTTGATAATATTACCTTATTAGTAACATGTAATAATGTTTATCTGATTCTTAAATAATATTCCTTTTGGATAGAAGAAAGTCAATATTTCATTTGTTTTATAGACACAATGCAGAACGTGATTGAGCAGTCCGTTCTGGACAACAACTGGTTGCCGACTGCAGATTCTGCGGCCACAAGTCACCATCAAGCCTTTACACTCCCCACTCTAGCGCTGTGCTCAGTGCTGCCATATCTAAAATATATTATTAGTAGTAGTTTTTATGCGTTTGTTGTAATTAGCAGGAATTTTCAATTTGTAACACAGAGTGCAAGATGATAAGTTGTCTTGTTTAAACGGAAAATCAGTGTCAATTTAGTATGTTTGAGTTTGCTTTGATATTTTATGTGGATTCCGTGTTCAAACAATTTTAAAGCTAATATTTACGTTTTAGCGTGCAATATCGTTTTAGCGTTATTAAAAGCAGTGAAGCATTTTTTTTAAAATATCATAATTTATTCAGTAGTGTGTAAATCAATTCAACAAGGCTAAAAGATTTTTGAGAGAAATTTCCGAATAAATTGGACATGTATTTGTCGGTAATAATGACTAATGACTATGTAATATGAAATTAAAATAATAAAAAACTAAATATGTATTCCAAAGTTAATTTCATTAAGTTATTTGTAAGAGTATGTAAAAACGTTAAATCTGTAAATAGTTACCAAGATGTTGGTGTTTCGAGATAATTGTGATGGCATTATAAATAAGTAAGTTAAAATAGTGATTATATAAGAAAAGCCTACTCAGAAATATACGAAATTATCAATCTCTCTTATTTTCGTTATTCATTCAGACCTATGATAAAATAATTAAACTAATCACCACAATTAAATTTATATGTCGTAGGAGGTCGATGGTAGTGCTACTTAAAATGGTGACGTCATTAATGTAGACGCCCCATTCTACCTCTATATGGAACTGGTCATCCACTAAGGCTTTTTATCCAGAATAACAGTTAGCCTCAAAATAGGTTATAGTTGGTCTTTTTACAAAGTTACAATAATCAGAGCTCTGAATAGTATGACGATTAAATTGACAAAAAGATGACAACAAAGCATGAATGATTTATTATATATAAAAGAATATGATTTATTTGTTATCAAATTATATGTCCAAACAGAGCTATTCTTACCTTAGTGGCTCTGACTTAGTACTGACCTTGAACTATATTTTTTACATAGAACCTGTATTCGGCGACCTCAAAACTTTTATTGTTTTTTTTTTCATTTAATTGTAACTCAGTTATATTCTACAGCGGGATGGATTACTACTGTTTTCATACGTATATTTTTCGGGTACGCTTTGTGATTAAATATAATGTACAAATACAATAAATTAGTAAGAAAATAATTGTGTTCTGAACACAAGAACTGATGGGGAATGGAGTTTTTGTAAGTATTTTTTAGTTTAAATTATATTTACGTACTGTTTTTCTGTTTTTCATTACGTAATTTAACTGAATTTTTAACCTGACACGTCAGCTCTATTTTAATTTAAAATGCTTGTAAAATAATTCTTTTTACTACAAAAAAATATAGACGACAACATAAAATCTGAGCGCTTGCAAATTAAATTTTCATTTTAATGACATAGAGATAACTTTAAAATGGTTATAACATTAATACATTTTTTAAAACTGTAATGCAAATTATACCTTAGGAAGTATGTAATAAAGTTGTTTTCTTTATTTAAAGGTGGCAGACTGATAAATTTCGTATGTGTATTTTATTATTAGAATGGAAAGCGTGTATTTAACCAGTGGGCCTAAACGAATCGTAATGTTTTACAAACATCTTCCACGTACTAATGAAATATAATCATTATAAAGCATATCAAGTAATTGTATAAAAATTGTAAATACTTGTAGTTTTAGACTAAGAAAATGAAGGAAGTTTAGAGAAGGTTATCGGAGGACGAGTAGAACAGTTGTATCTTACTTTATTTGGGGCTGATTTTTCAATCAACAGATAATTCTTAGCTGTGGAATAAAATTGGCGATTAACACTTTTTAGTACGGAATGAAGAAAATTATTCTTCCTACAAACATTTATCTGGTGTTTGAAAAATTGGCGATTAGTGTGAAATCTTAATTTTCTCATAATGAAATCATCTAAGCTGTAGTCGGAGAGTAAACGTAAGACACAATATATTTTTGGGTCTCACACGAAGCAAACAAACTGTGTATATTTCAATTATTACTCAATATAATTTTAAAACTGAAACCTTATTAGTCTTGAAAATATTGTACATATTACCAAATTGTTGTTTTATAGACGCTGATTCTAGTCAAGTATTTTTATAATTTTAATTCTTTGTTTTTGCGTTTTTTTTTTAATACGTGACTCTACATGTACCCACTAATGAATATTTTTAGTATGTTTACACCCAAAAATAGACTTACAGAGAATAACGTTGTTTTCAGACTAATTCAATGTTGCTTAATTTTATTTTTGTTTTCAGTGGGGAGCTAAAAGGTTTAACCTTTTACTATTGAAAATACAGTTTTGTAATATCAAAGGTAACGTAATTAAAATAAAAGAGACTAAATGCTGAAGTAGTGGGTTTCATAAAAATAAAAATGGGTCAATAGTTTCAGTAAAATGGAAACCTTTTTTGTAAACCTTTAAATATTAATAAACAGTTCGCGGCTCATTTTTATCATAAAACGAAGTCTAAATTGAAGACAAATTTATTAAAAATGGTTTTATTAATACATTGAACCACATACCATACATTTTATATACCTAAATTGTGTCTTATGATTTAAGTATTGAGGTTGATTTCTGGTTTCACTTTTTTGACTTTACAGTGCTAAATTATGTTTAATGTAAGCGTTATTTAGTTTTAGGAAGAATGTTATGTACATATTGCTGGTAATTAGGTATAATTGCTAATAATGTATTTAGGTAGGTATTGTTTTGAAGATAGGCAACTGCCACTGGATAATGTAAATAAATAAGGAATATCATTAAACGAACAATTTATAATTAATATGTTTTGTTTTATTTCTTCTGCCAATTCATCATCATCATTATATCAGTCACAAGACGTTTACTGACGTACATAGATCTCCCATGACACTTCCAGATCAATATTTTAGAGGCAAACTACGCCTAGCTATCTAATTACATTATTAGAACATAATAAATAAAAATAAAAAAAAATAAAAAAAAAATAAAATAAAAAAGCCTTATATTTCTTACAAAAAAATACAAAAATAAACTTATTCCTAATTTAATGCATCTATTCCTAATCTGTAATTCTAAAATTAAATAACTATTTTTATATAATTTATTATTTATGTAAGAACCCCTCGTTCTCGAAGGTGAAGGCCTCCTCTAGAGATTTCCATTTATTCCTGTTCTTCGCCGTCTCCATCCACTGTTTGCCAGCCGCTTGTATAATATCGTCGTTTCACCTGGCAGCTGGTCTACCCCTCTTTCTGGTGCCTGATGGGCCCTTCCAGGATGTTAACCTGGCTGACCATCGGCTATCTGTTAGTCTGGCTATGTGACCAGCCCAACGCCCCACAGCCGAGCGTCTGTGACTTTTGTCTTTTTCCGAATTAAATTATGGGGTATTTTTTGGATTCTTCTAATTTTCAACATACTCCTTTCCATTCCTCTTAATCAAAATCCCCCTATTTGAACATAATACAAAAATTAAAAAATACGGTAATAATAGTACTAAAACTTTTACTTTCATTTCTGCAAAACCAGTAAATTAAAATATTTGAATTTATCATTCAATTAAATTTTTTTCCCTATTTTCATGAATATAAATAAACATGAACATAAAAAACAAATAATAAACTCCGACACTCGATAGCGGAAAATTAAAGGCAACGAAAATATTCAAAAGGTGCTACGCCGTAGCCATTCGTAGCCACCTGCTACGAGAAATATTGCTACGAAAACTACGCCATTGGGATTATAGTTAATTTGACATTTTTTTATTTCATATAGTGGTTGAATACTACTTGAACATTCATTTCTTTCCTTTGAAAACCTACATTCATTGTAAAGTGCTATGAAAATCTTAAAAAAGATAAAACTGTCGACAGCATGTTTTTATGTTTGAAATATGAATGGAAAAGCGTTCGACTATGCGACGTTTTAAACGCACACATATTTTTCTAGTGCACTCTGCCAAAAATGTGTGAAATAGTACTAAGAATCAGCTCGTTGTAAATCTTTACATTGTAAGGTTTTAAATGCTGCTGCATAAAAATAGTTTTGGCATGGATACTATGAATAAGATTCATGTGAATTGCTATGTTTTAATATGATTTGTTTAACTAAAAAGCTCTTGGCCAAATTATAAAGCTTTTAATTGCAATCAACGGCATAGAAATATTTTACAGAAAAGTCTTTTAATAAATAAAAAGATCTATTCTAATCTTAAATACAAACGACAGAGAGTGCAAAATTCAATGAATTGTTTAACACTTCTTATTTACCCTCATCTTCTACGGACTGTATCCTTCTGACACATACCTCAACCTCAAAATTTGTGTAAACAATGCGTACCATTAACATAACTTTCCGTGTGAAATGTAAGCATGGGAAGATAGTCCTTATCCCATTATTTATAATGATGTTAATGCCATAGCAATGAACAATCTTTGTCATGCAAATGATAGATCTAAAACAATTTAAATGTTAATGTATTTATCGTTGTGGAAAATTAAGAATAATTACAGAGAATTGATGTAAGACGTTGTAAATACTTTATGTTTGTTTTTAACAATTTACTGAAAGAAACACGACCTTTCTAGTACAATACAGTCATTAGCACCATTTTTGACCATTTTTGCTTTTTTAATAAAAAAAAGACGGTCATTAGCACTTGAATCTTAGAAATGGTTCCCTGGTCGTCCAAAAGACTATAAGGTATCACATCCTTTCCAAAGAAACTACATTTTACATAGAGACTGTAATATATCAAACGTATTTACTCACGCACACCTCACCTTTGGCCGAGTGTTCGTAAGTGCGACTGGCGGCAAGGGTTCGATTCCAGGGTTTGGTTAAAGTATTGTTGGGTTTTTAAAAAAAATGTCCATTAGTAGCACGGAGTCTGGAATTGTGCGTCTGTGGGTGTGAGTCAATATGGCAATAGGCTCACCCCCTATTACATGGGACTTGTAACATAAATATTTAAAAGTGGGTGTTACTTTGCACAGTGGCATTAAATATCGTAATGTGCACCTCTCAAAGGGGTAGCCTTCAGGAACAAAAGGCGTGATGGTACCTTTCTGTTACCTAATTCACACATTGAGAAAGAAAGGGACATAGAGATATTTGATTTTCATTTATATTTCAATAGACTGAACGGTTGGCGCAGTGGCTGGGCAAATAGCTGCCGCGCAACGTGTCAGGGGTTCGATTCCCGAACGGAACAACTCTTTGTGTGATCTACAGATTATTGTTCCGGGTCTTGGAGTCATGTGTATGTAAACTTGTATGTTTATTAACGCACCCACGACAGGAGAAAATCCTAGTGTGGAGGCAACGTTTAAAAAAATGAATATAAGAAAAATAAACTTAACAAAACCAAATGACCTTTTCACAAAAAGAAAAAAAAAGCAACCTTCATATTTTTCCAGACACGTGTATCTTCTTAATTTTTTTTCAGGATGGTTTTCTACCTTGAAAAGGCAAAATAAAAAGATTTATTGTAATTTTTCGTATGATAACGGCACTTGAACGTATATGGAGATCCTTGTGTGAAGTATCTCAAATAAATTCAAGAGGCTTTGTCATTATAAATAGATAAGGCCTAAGGGTTACTAAGGGTATTCGTAAAGGCTACTTGGATGTTTTTCTTATGTCTTAAGATGCCTTGTCGCAAATAAATAAATATACTTAAATAGTATAATTATAGAAGCTTCTAGATTATTCCTTAACCCTTAGGTAGTCGCTTCGATTCAGCCTGATGCTAGTGTAGGTATGACTTTCACCATTTCAAACTTGGTCATTAACTCGTCGAGTACCGGTTTTGTAGACACAATTATAGAACAATAGGTTGCGGTCACCGGTGACCGCTTGATGTTTGACAGTTTAAAGTGTTAAATAGATTGTAAGTATATCACAATCAGTTACCAAAATGACTTAATTATTGACTTGTTAACTATTATTGTATGGGTAGATCGTGAGTGGTAATATGTATGTGTTGCAATTCTTTCATTCGATTTCGAGGAGTTTCATAGTTGGTCAGATCATCATCATTGATATCATGACAAAATTATGATATTTTCCATGCTACAAACACAATTCTATAAACTGAAATAAAACAAAATCGTGGTTTAACTTATTCGAATCGAACCCTATTAATATGTTTTTACCTATGTATATTGAACATACATCCAGGAAAAGAAAATTTACTATACCTACACTACTCATCATTGTATATAAAATTACATTAATAAAATACAGTAATACAATATTCACATAACATTCATAATAATATTCCAAGTATGCAAATCACTGACTAGCATTATTCCCTAGGTAATATGATTAACTGAGTAATCTAACACACGCCGTAACAGTCTAATTGTGTCAACAGTTCGTACAATGCTTGAGGAAGTATGAACATATAGTATTTACATATGTACAATATACAATGTACATATGTATAGCAAATATCATCAACACGGAGAAAGTTTGAGCATTATTAATCACGCTTGCTCAATGCGGGTTGGCGATTTCAAACTTATAATTATAAATTATACGCCCAGGTTTCCCCACGATGTTTTCCTTTAGCGTTTGTCAATGGTGTCTAAATAATCTTAAAAAGTACATATAATTCGGAAAAAGTTACATTGGTACTTGCTGTTGGTAGATATTGATCCCGCACCCTCATGCATGAGAAGCGGGTCTTAAACCTCCGAGCCACCGTGATAGATAGTAAATATATGATTTGGTAATTGCATATGTGTCCAAGGTACTCCCAGTTTTCAAGGGTTGTGTTAGATAGGGTCAAATCAAAAGTATCCTTACCCGACGAGCATTCATGAAAAGTCTATTGACTGATGATGACGCAAAGAGGTATGTGAGAATCGTAGCAATTGCTGTTTCATATTCTCTGCCTACCCCATGGTAGACAGGCATGATAGTTATGTATGTATGTCCAATAACATTAGAGTAGAGATGTAACACAAACACCGTTAGTGAGACTGTGCTGACTGATATTCATAAATTCACAGTAATGTTTGCAGTCTAGTTATCAACAAAATAAGATA